GAGATGTGAAACATCTCTATTCGCCTTCCATGTATCAGCCAATAAATTCGATCTGCCTCAATATTCTTTACTTCCAGAAAAGATGCTTCAGCGCTACGGCAGTCTTTCAGGAAAGCTCCACATGATTGAGCTGGAGAAGGACCCCGCCACTCCCGGTCTGGGGATCAGCCTCGCGCACAGCGATGACGCCTCCAGGGCCCGTATGAGCGTCTGCATCGCGGGCATTGACCCCAAAGGGCCCGCGGGTTTGGATGGGAGGATACAGGTTGGGGATGAGCTGTTGGAGGTAAGAAGGAGAGCGAATCGGGAGAGGAAAACCAGAATACAATCTCTTCCATTTGAGGACAAGCTACTCGACACTGCACCTCTTTCAGATCAACGGTCAGATCTTGTACGGCCGGAGCCCCGGAAATGCCTCCACCATTATCAACAACACCCCATCTAAAGTCAAAATTGTCCTAATCAGGTACTGTTTGTTGTCATGTGGCAGCTGCACACCCTAGCGGAAAAAGTGAAGGTTTCTATGTGTGTTTTTTTCATTAGAAATAAGGCAGATCAAGTGGATAGGGGAATAAAAAAGCAATGTGAGGACACAGTGGACCAGCAGCCAGACCCTGCCGAGGATGGAGGATTACCCGGAGACATAGAGCACATCATCCTTAATCAGGTACAACATCATAGCTGCTGTTGCAGAGTCTGTTTTTGACATGTTGCCCCTTTAGCCTTTGTCAGACCTTTAGCTCAGGGGGTGTCAAACTCCAGTCCTCGAGGGCCGCTGTCCTGCTGGTCTCAGACGTTCCCCTGCTGCTACACACCTGATTCCGGTGAAATTGGATCTCCTCCAGACATGGCTAGCCTTTGCACAGGCCTGGTAATGGCGCGGTGATGTCAATCAGGTGTGTTGAAACAGGCAAACCTGTAAAACCAGCAGGAAAGCGGGCCCTCGAGGTCCGCAGTGTGACGTCCCTGAAGGCTCCATATGTGTGAGTAAAGGGAAAGCTCGAAAACAGAAAGAAATCTGATTGATAGTTGGCTGTCTTCAGCGGTTATCTCGTCTTTCTTCCAGGACCATGCAGGCCTGGGCCTTTGCCTCGTTGAGGACAAAGAAGGAGTGGTGGTCCGGTCATTGATCCCGCACGGCACTGCTAGTAAGGTGGGGCACCATCGGAGCTGATCTTAATCGCCTTCAACAGTGACTTAAAGTGGCCAACATAGATTTTTCATCATAGAGACCCAACAGCCTTACAGCTCACTCTTTATATTAGCTTCAGCTATAATAAAAGAGATCCAGTCAGAAGTTTAGAGGCAATCATATCTGACATGCATACCGTGACGATATTTAGTTGTTTCATTGTGCGGTTTCGAATGAGATTGTTTTGTTTTTTTATTAACTCCCGTTCAAACTTGCATTTATACGGCCATGATTATACATACAGCCCTCCTAAAATGTGATTAAATCCTCCTTGGCAAGATGCACTGCTCTTGGAGGACATCAACTCTTCTTGGCAGAATTGCTGCTCTTTTGGCACGATCCTGACTTTTTAGCACCGTCCATGAATTTTAACACGGGTTGAGGTCAGGATTATGGGCAGTCCATTCTGAAAGTTTCATTTAACGGCGTTTTATCGATTCCAAAACTAATTTTGATGTGAGTTTTGAGTTACTGTTCTCATGGAACAGAACATTGTGTTTCCAGCTGTCTGGCTGACAGTTTGGGGTTATTCTGATTAAGTCTGAGATACTTTGTGCAAAAAGCAGTTTCACTGGCAGCAAAATAAATCCAGACAGCGACGTTATCGCCGCCATGATTAAAAGTTTTTTTGGGGGGGGTGCTGAATCCATCATCTGTACTACTTCAAACATGTCTTTCATCATTGTGGCCAAACAATTGTCTCAACTGACCATCAAACTCACCCTGAGATGGCTTTTCATTTATCCACTAGCTTTTCTGCCAATTTATGTTAAGCTTGAAGGTGTTAACTTAAAGGAAAAAGAACAAATGGTGGAATGCAGCCAGACAGATGGAAAAGTATAGAAACACTCCTAAACCTGGACTAAAAAAGGCCAACAAAAAGGTACTGATGGGGCAGGAGATACAAAAATGTAAATCTGTTTTTTAAATCCAGAGTTTCAGAAAAAAATAATCTAGCAGCAAAAACAATTGGCTGATTAAAAAGAAAAAAATCCTTGAAGAGAGGATATCACAGGAACAGGACTTCAAAACCGTTGGTGCTGCAGTACTGTTTTGTTAGCATTGTCTTGCTTAGATATGCAAGACCCTTCCAAATAAAATAAAAGATAAATCTGAAAGGGGATGTAGTTTGTTCTGAAACCTGTAAACGTCTTTCAGCGTCAGTTGCGCCTTTCCAGATGTGGAGGCTCATAGCCATTGTTGCTGCCCACCCCTCTGCTGTCAGAGATGCAGGCTTCTGAACCGAGTGCTGATGAGAAAACAGACGCTTCCTGTCCTCTGTAGCTCAGACGATGTCCAGTTATTTCCCATGAGAATTTCAACATTTGATTTAGGGCTTTTCTGTCTCACCTTCTCTTCGGCCAAGAGGAGACAGCACTGTTTTCTGGGTCGTTTGTGAGCGCCACAGGCATCCATCTGTGTCCTGTGCATACAGATGGTGATGGAGTATGGAAGGTCTATGGAATTCTACATTGAGAAAATATTTTTCTATAACATTTCTTTGTGTATGTGCTTTTTTTGGTGCTCTTTTTTTTCCAGAATCGTGTTAGTGAAAGGTGTATGTAAACTTTCAGTTGAAACTGTATGCAAAAATATTCAAATGAACTTGTTGTCAATTGACCTGAATAATTACTACATGCTTCTGACAACCACTCGTGCAGTGTTTTTTAAGATGCATTGCTGTAAAACTGTAGTTTTAAATTAGTGAAGAGATTCAATGATTCCTTTCAAACAAGATATCAGTTTATAAACTATATAATCAGTCTAAAAACTATTCCATTCACTTCTTATTAAAGTTCACACAACACTCTGACTTTGGGTTTTAGAATGAAGTTGAAACCAAAGGCTAGAAATGATTCATATTAAACAGCACAGTGATTAAAAATGCTCTCTGTAATCAACAGAAATTATACTGAGGTACAGGACGTATCCAAAGGAAAACCAACAAAGCAAGGCACAAAGTCTAGATGAAAGGCAATCACAAATCTAAAACAACAGCCCATTACATGTATTGTAGAATGATTCTGCCTCACCCTCTTTAAAAAAAATCACACAAAGCAAAACATTTCCATGACGTGCATGGCCCTGACGGGTGTATGTAAACTCTCAGTTGAAACTGTATGCAAAAATATTCAAATGAACCTGAGTTCCATTATTCAAGACTGCCTTTTCACCTCTGGAATTATTTGAACTTACAGGGATCTTTCCTGTACATGAGGGGCACATTAGTACAGCTTGGTCTATGACCGCCCTCAAATTTTGTAAAGCCTGTGTTTTCTTTTTTTACCATTGAAAGCTCTTCAACCAAAGCAAAAGTAGCTGATACATACAATATATACATAATCGTGAATTACATTGCAATGGCAGCAGTGTCCTGATATCTCTGTAAGTGTTTGAACTGAATTAACACCAAAATGGCGGTTACCATTGTCACCATGTGCTAATGAGCTCTGGCGTATGCCCGTGAGGCAGCACTTATGCAGATATTTGTCCAGAGGGTGTATTTGAAGTTTTCTTTTTTTTATCTAACTTCCCCTCCATCTGTCTTTCATCCAGTTTGCCTATATCACATTTTTATTCATATCCCTGTACGCAGGACGGCAGGGTAAAGGTTGGAGACAGAATTGTAGCAGTGGGTGATGAACCTGTGGCTGGACTGTCGGTGGAAAAGGTTCAAACGCGCACTCACACACACACACGCACACACACACACACACTCTCAAACACTGTACTATCTGCTCTCCAAGGTCGAACTGACTTAATGATTTATGACTCACCTGGCCTCTTTGTATTCAGGTGTCCAGTTTGATTCTCAAGCACCGGGTCACTGTCAAGCTCTCCGTCAGCCGTTCCAGGACTCTCTCCCTCCCTTCTCCTCTGCCTCTCCCTTCCCCGCTTCCCCATCCGTGCTCTCTTCCCGCTCCCGCTGTTCCCTCACTCCCGCCTCCCGTGCCGTCGCCCTCCTCCTCCTCCTCGTCTCTCAGCGCCGCGCAGACCTCTTCGGCCGAGCGCTCTCATTGGCTGGGCGCCACTCCTGTGACTTCTGACCCCCTGAGCAGTCCAGTGGCTGCTGGAAGAGAAACCACTGTGGAGTTTTGCAAAGAAAACTTGGGCCTGGGCCTCAGCATTGTCGGTGGATGTGACACCCTACTGGTGAGAGCACGCGTGTGATACCTGAGAGTTCATTTAACACTTCTTTTGTTTTGTTTCATTTCCACGCACTGTGATCAGTGTGGTGAATCTGTTTATTTTCCTTCTACGGAAATGACAAGTAACTTTTTTTTCTGTCTTACACCAGGGGGCAGTAATAATCCATGAAGTGAATGATGGAGGAGCAGCTCAGAGAGACGGAAGACTGCAGGCTGGAGACCAGATATTAGAGGTATAACAAATGGGCTTGTGAACCAAAATGATTCAGACTTATTTAGTCTTGAATGTAGATCATTTCCCTTTAACTTGACAATATTAACGATTTAGTTTCAAGACATGTTATTATTGGAGAGACTCTGCTACAGTTCCATCATTGAGTCTGGATGTTGTTGTTCCCTCTTTATTTGTTTGCAATTCAACAAGCTATTCTATCAAAGCCAGTTATTTGCCACGAGGGCTGAAGGTTAAACTTCTCAAGCAGTTTTCGTTTCATGTTTCTAGTCCGTTCACAAGCTGGGGAAAAAAACCTTTAGTGGAGAGCTTTAAAGTGAAACCAGCAGGTTAACAAGTTTACTGACTTAAAGAGCAGAAACCTGTAGGAAAACCTAGTTCATTCTATTTTAAAAATGCAAATGAAAGTCATTGTACATGTTTAATATGTATGTTTTACAATATTTATATTAGAGAAAATTCTTTCAGTGGATGTATACTATTTTTGTCTCTATTCCATCGTGTTAAAACAGTAGTGATATAAGATCCTCTGACAACAACTCCTGTAAATGCACATCAAAGTGGGGTAGCTGATGGCAAGACTTAGATAGATTCCGGAGGGACTGTACACCGAGATAAAAAAGATCAGTCTGGAGTGAGGAAATGGTGCAAAGTCTGTGGTGCACGTGTCTAACAGAGGACCTCCACCTCTTGTGATCAGCTGCTCAGGGTAAACTGGTGCAGTTAGCCAAGGGATGCCGTGACTTTGATGGAGGGCAGTCTCATTATCGCAGACTTATGGGACTTGTTACATTTATCTTTTGTGTGTGTGTGTGTTTGAACTTTGACTGTTCTGGCCCTGGAGGTTTGAATGACTGCGTAAAGAGAGAGATTTAACAATGACTAAGGATAGTGGCGCTAACAGTGACTCAGTCTGGGAATGACACTCGTGCTGAAGGTAGTTCTCACATTTTCCAGGCTGAATAATGTGATGGTGAATGTGTCACGGCCTACGGTGACGTTTGTGTTTCAGTTCTGCCATTTCAAAGAGCATTAGTTCCATATGGAATATCTAAAACCAGCAGGACAAATTAAGAGTATGACAGATCACTGTTGACCCCGTTACCACAGGCAACATATGTGAGCACATATCTGTTGGTAAGAGTTGACAAAGATATTAAATAAATAAGGGAAAGCGTGAAGAGAAAGCAGCATTCAGGAGCTGTTCTTGCTCCGTCTGTTTTGAAAGAATAAGAATGTTCTTTACTTTGCTCTCAGTTCTTCACATATAAACTAAAGCCAGAATAGCACCACCTGATGGCCTTTATATCACTGAGTAAGCATTTTTGTTTCCCAGAAGTATTAACTTGTTTTAAAAACAGATTTTAAAAGGCTTGCTGATTCGGATGTAGAATTTTATATAAAGAAAAAAGGCAAAAAGTGCTTTAGTCTTTTTTTATCGACAGCTGTGTATATGTATTTTATTTAAAGAGGTAGGCTATGTGAAAAGCGATATTTGCTAATTTGGCAGGTAATGTTGCAGAAGTTCAGTTCAGAAATAAGAATTAATGCTAATAGTCGCTATTTCTAATCTTGGATCACAGTCCTAAAATAAGCATTTCACATTCATTTCTCGCACTCCTGTGGTGTGAACAATAATCATATCCTATTAGGTAAAGGAACATGAGTCTCTCGACCATCTGATTAGATGTGTGCACATCTGTCCATGTACGGTGAGGAAAGTGGACTAAAACGTGTTTTTCGTGCATCGCTTAAATTGTTTGACTTCCCCCACACACAGAGGGGCTTGTTAACTAGCAGAGGCAAACACTTTATTCTCATGAATGCTTTCACACAGGCGATGCACCTTCAACAGCAATGGTAAAAATTGAGATTCAAAACATGAACAACTCATATGCTTAAAAGAAATAAAGAAATTAGAACAGTGACGGTGGAAAAATGTGTATGCTACGTTTGAATGCTGTGGGAGCGTCACCTCAGATTAAATCACAGGACAACAATGATCCTGCAGACGTCTGCCCCAAGACCAAAACAAAATATAGACGTATACAGACTTCCTGCCATTCAAAGGCCCCATTTCAATTCAGCTCACGCTGCTCAGTCCTTTTTTTCCCCCTTCCTTTACAACTGTCACTGGAATCCTTCCTTTGTTGTCGCGTATCACTGTTTGTCAGTATCTGCCATGCCGTCTCCGGGGGGAACGTTGTTGTGCAGTTGCACACAACTGCAAATAAACTAATGCATTTGGCCTCAGTTTTATAGGCATTATAAACAATCCTTTTGGTCCATGTCAATTGCAGAAATCTCTGTGACCTACGCTGAATCGATCGCCCACATGGTCAAGGATGTTGATTTATCAAATCGTGAAAGAGTCACATTTACGTTGATCAACTGGAAACCAAATGAACGAACGAACGCTGTGCTGTTACTCTTGTTACTCCCAAGGTAAATGGTATAGACCTGCGGCAGGCCACGCACGACGAGGCCATCGCTGTGCTGCGACTCACCACCCAGCGCGTCCGGCTGAGCATCTTCAGGCACCAGGAAGCCTACAGGGAGGAGGACCTGTGGGATGTCTTCACTCTGGAGCTCAGGCCCCGTCCTGGAGAGGGACTGGGGTTCGGCACCGTGGGGAAGAGGTACCAGCACCGTGCTCTGATACAGGCGTGTCCAATTCTGGTTCTCGAGGGGCGCTGTCCCACAGGTTTTCCATGATTCCCTTCTTCGACAACTGCAACATTAGCAGTTAAGTGAATAAACCATGAAAATATTCTGTGTTGAGGTAGGGATACATCTAAAACCCGCTGGAGAGCGGTCCTCGAGACCAGAGGTTCACACCACTGTTGTGATATATGTCAAGCCTCTAGCTTGTTAGGTTCTCAACAATAAATGTGTTTGTGAATGAAAACAACCAAAGTTTCAGATTGGACAAAGCAAAAAGTAAATGTATCACTCTAGTAGTCATGTGAACAAACAAAGGTTTTGTAGTTAATGTGTCTCCCGTTGTCATCATTGAAATCTTCTTCCACAAATTGAGTTTTATAAGTACTTTTTTAAAACAATGTTTACAAGGCAAAAGAGCTTTGACCTGACAGTCCAAGCTTTTCACCATATTTATACCTACATATTTTGTATACCTACAAATGTTTTTTTCATGTATTAATATAATTATCATATAGTAACTAGAAAACCAATTCAGCAGTTTTTTCACTTATAATCTGTATTAGTTAACTGCCATGTTAAATTCCCCATATTATCTAACACAAACTACATCAAATGGATACCTACTTAAGGTAGCTCTCTTTTTTCCTGAAAGAATAGAGCCAATCCCCTCATTTCACTTTTGATCCCCCCACCCTGCTCCATGAATTTGTCACATTCCATAAAAAAAGTTAATAACATTTGAAAGCCGTTGGCCTGAAGAAAAAAGAGGTCATGAGAATATATTTGAAAAATTGCGCTTGCCAGTTTTTTTGTCAGTTGGTCAAAGGTTAATCAAATAGCCACCAACACCATTTATTGTTACCTTCAAGCTGCGGCCAGGCTTCCCGGACCTTAAACAAATTTGTTGACAGGACCTGTGGTCTTCTCCACAGTTCTGGGAGGTTCTTGTTGGGAGTTGTAGGACTGTAAAACTCAGCCATGTCTTTGCTGTTTGCCTGAACTTAAAAAGTATTCTGAATCCATCCTTTTGCTGTAGTGTGCAGCAAATGTCCGCCTGGCATCTCAAAATGTCAGATTTCATAGCATGTTTTACTGAGATTGTCTTGCATTATTGGCCATAATTCTATCTTAAATTATTATTATCTTTAGAAGCTACAGCTCCATGTGCTAGAAGGTAAAACATTTTCACAGGAAAGAAAATATCCTGTTTTCCATCAGTACTATTATAGCTTGGGGCAACGGCTGTGTAATAAGTTGGCCTCCATGGACCCACGGGTGATACTTCTGGGAATATTCTGTACACCTTTGTGTTTGAGTGATGTGTTTAGGATTTTCTCCTGCTTCTGCTTTAAAGCTTCCATTTTTAAAAAGGCACATGCTTTTCAGTATGTTGTATTTTCAAAGAGTTTTCATGGAGCTGATGAACTGCTGAGTTCTATCTCTGCCCGAGCAGACTTTGCTGGACCCCTTGATCCCTTTGAATGTACAGCTGACCAGTGAGATGAGTCCCAATTTTTTTCCAAATATTAAATGTACCAGCCAGAGTGGAGTGAGGTACTGTGGGGTTCACAGCCATAGGTCCAAGAATAGGTGTTGTGCTGAGCTTAATGAGTTCTTAAGCTCTTTTAATATCTTAATTGTGTAATTAATGGTAGGACTGTACTTGAAGTAAAGCTCTCTTAACAGGAACAGGATATAATATAACTACCTTTACAGAGCTCATCTTACTTTTTCCAACTCATAATGGGTTGATCATCTAAGCAGTGAGCCTATTCCAACTGTCCAGTGAGAGAGCCTGAAGTCAGGTAGTGCCAGTATCATTACAGTCTTTGTTGTAACCATAAATCTTGGGATGTGATTGAGGGGTTTCTGCAAAGGGCTTTACAGTGTGTGGGCATCTCTTCCTTATGCCTCTGCCAAGCTGAGATGGAGTGGAAAGAGTCTGATTTGTAATTCACCAAGTGCAGGGGTCATTATATAGTAAAGCTGGGCCAACGTTTTTCGGTATGTGATTAATAATGAAATTGGCCTTTCTCATAGACATAGTGTTTTGTTCATAGGTGTCATTTAACTGATTAGATCTACTATTGTTGTCTTTAGGGACAATAAGAGCAACAATAAGGGCCACAATAATGTTCCTAGTCAAATTTTTGCCACTGTTTTTATAGTTTCATTCATTTGAAAGACATAGGAAAGAAAAAATTAACTCTATCACGCGAAAAATCTCAAAATAATTAATCGTTTACATCAAACTGAGAATATTCCCTGTGTTTAAGAAATAGGTTGCTTATTCACATTATGCGTGCATCCATATAACTGTATAGTTGACACCCCCATCTACAGTAGTTGTTATTCATTCCCCCAATTGAGGTGTATTTTAGTTGTGTCCCCGACTAAAAAACACTGAATATACCTCTGGGCTTGTCTAGCAGCAACTTCCTGTTTGGACAGCCCTCAGCTGGCCTTTGTGTATCAGGTTTTAGGCCCTTGTAACCTTTTCCTGGTCAAATAGAGCTGAGATTCAGGAGATATTGTGGTTCATTATGTCTTTGGCCCTTGCAAAGGGATCATGTGCACAATCTATAATTGGTCTCTCAAGTTTAGCACTTCTACACAACTTTTGTGAGGTTTGGGTTGAAGGTAATCTGTTTTGAGAGAAAACTGACCGCCAAATGAAATACTTCCAAAAATCAAAGGATCCACCGATAGACGTATCGTACAAAATCTGTTTACGGCTAAAATGTATGCTCCTTTTGTTTGCTCTCTTCCTCTTGTAGTATTTGCATCGTCTTGTAAATGCTTGATAGAAATTTGGATTCTTACTGGATGTCATGCAAAGAAAAAAAACAGAAGAGTTTGACAGGCAACAAAAGGAATTCTTTAGCCTTGGAATGACTTGACCTCTGTTTGCTTCTGACAGTAATGACACGGGCATCTTTGTGTCGGACATCATCCGAGGAGGCGTCGCAGATTCAGATGGCAGGTTATTGCTCGGCGACCAGATTCTGTCAATCAACGGGGAGGATGTCCGTGCGGCCTCACAGGAGCACACGCAGCGGCTTCTACAGGTGTGACTCATTCAAACTCATCCTTTGGCAGGGGTATGAGGGAATAAGAGGCGCCCTATGAATTTTTCATGCCCTCACTTTATATGTGATGTCTCCCTTTGCTTTCAGAGCTGCAGTGGAGCAGTCCACCTGGAAGTAGCTCGTTTCAAAGCTGGTGTGCAGTATTCACAGCGGAATCAGGTAAATTGGTTGATTGGAGTGTTTGGGGTAAATCAGTGGGGGGGGGGGAGTAGACATTGAAAGAATATAAAAATTCCGGAGGTTTGTCCTGGTAAAGTCTATCTTATACATAGATAGATAGAATTGCTTTAAAAGGGATATTTGGTAAAAAGGAGTAGTTGCATTGGCCGGGAATCGAACCCGGGCCTCCCGCGTGGCAGGCGAGAATTCTACCACTGAACCACCAATGCGATGATAGCTCTACACAGATGCGCGAAATTCACCCGCCTAGCTACCGTGCTATAGTCTGTGGAGGTAGTAGTCTCATGTGTGATTTTAACTAAAGTGTTTTGTGAACCTAGGAGTATTTTAAGTTGTGTTTTATCCAGAGCGAAGACTCTGACTGTTCCACTCTGACACCCTCAAGTGGATGTGATGCGTTCTTCAGCCACCAGAGGGAGACCAATAACAGAGCAGGGAGCAATGGCAAGTGCTGACGTTTGCTGCCACGAAATGTAGAAATCCTGAACACTCGTAAGATTGAAACCTTGAATTCTGACAATATTCTCTGAGCAGAGTGTTTCATTTTCATCTCTTTTGCGTCCTGCAGCACCTCAAGGCCCTGACATCAGAAAAGTAATAATACAAAGGGTAAGGGATAAAAACAAACAGTCTATTTATATTTTGTAACAGAAGCTTTTTATTTGTTTGGTTAAACAGCTTTTTCCTTCTTTTACATTTTTAAGAAACACATTTTTAAGTTAATGTTAAACTAATTACTGAAGTGAATCCCACCCACTGATGAACCCCATTCAGGGTGAAGGAGAGGTTTAAAAACTGTACAAATTGTATTTGCATTTTAGAATCACCATTCAACAAGCAAACCCGAAGGTCCATTCAGAAAAAAAAATTGTATTGACTTATTATCACACCATTGTTGATCACATTTGGAGTTTGTGAGTCAGAGATAAGGCCCCTGGTGTGGCTAACAGTTGGCTGTGGAAGCAGACAGGAAGAGGCAGAGACAAGAATTTAAAAAGAAACCCCTCTAAGTGGAAAAAATCATGGATTCCAAAACCCTGCTGAACAGCTAATCAGGCAAACTGTGACAGAACATGCTGAATAGGCTGAAAATAATGTCGACAGGGTATGACGGGGAAAAGAGACAAGTGGGACAGATGTTCATGGGGGATGATTGCTGACAAGTGGCCATCTTGACATACGGGGTTCATACAAACTTTAGATAGAGAGGCCAGGATTCAAATCACCTTCATTGCCTATTAAAGGCTATAAACTATATTTTTTAAATGGCTTTGTATTTCTAAAATGGAAAAGTATTGGGCCATTTCCGAGCCTTTGTGCCTTTGATTTCAGAAATTCAAGCTTTACTTGTCCCTGGGTTTGTTCAGATTGCAGCACCATGTGCGGAATGAGTCATGTGACTGGGAATTATTAACTGACAAAGATTCTAATGCATGTGTTGTACCACCGCAGGGTCTGTGTGACTCCATGGGCATCACTGTTGCTGGAGGAGTGGGCGGTCCCCATGGCAACGCACCTCTTTTTATTGCTGCCATGGATACCAATGGACCGGCTGCCAAAACACGTCAATTACAGGTGAGCGCCGCTTGTATTCGTCATCTCGTAGCGGCAACTCGTCTTTGTTTCATTTGATTTTTAGGATTGAGAGTGAAATGTTCTCCGTTGACTTGCTTCTCGTTTTCTACATAAACACAAGCCGTGATGCTTATTGGCAAAACGGGAGAGTATCTTGGGACAATACCTTGACCCCCTGAGCTGTCTACATGGTGGCAGTGGGTTAGGCTAGAGCACTTGTTAAACTGATTCAATCAAATCCACCTTTCGAAGAAGCGAGAAAGTAAAACTTTCCATGTGTTTGTGTTTGTGTGTGTTTGTGTGTGTTTGTGTGCGTGCGCACGTGTGTCGTTCAGACAGGAGACATGATCCTCAGCATCAATGATGTGCCCACTGAGGGAATGACTCACGACCGCGCCGGAGCCCTGCTGAAGAACGCCACTGGCGCCGTCAGTCTGCAGGTAGTGCGCGACAGTGACACGTGCCACAGTCATGGCGTGATGGCTGTTAGGCAGAAAGTTTCTGTGTGATAACGTCAGCAGTTTATTTATTTATTTATTTGCTTCCCTCCTGCACTGTCAAAGTGAGATAGTGATGTCTCCCCGAGCAATTCCTCTAGGTCATTATTACTTTTAGAAAAAACTCACCAAGATATGATTGTGCATGGAAAACAACTCCAAGAACTCGTGCTATTACTTTCGATGGATCCACGTTGTCGGGGATAAATTGTAGTTCATGGAAAGTGATTTGTCTTCAGTCCGAAAAGGAATATCAAATATATAGTAATTCAAATTTTCTTGCAATTTTACATACAATTACATACAATTTGGAGATAAAGGTTTGTTGAATCTCTGACCATGTTTACTTCTGAGAGACTTTGCTTCTCTAAGGTTCTCTTTGTTTCGTTCCTGATCATGTGACTGATCTATTAACCTAATGAGCTGTAACACACTCCCTCAGCTGTGAGACACTGAATTCAAGCTGGGCCTACATTTCTCATGAAACAGAAAAAATTAGTCACTTTCAGCTTTGGAGGTGTCAAATGAAGCACTGGCTTTTGAGATTTGAAAATAAATGAACAACTTTCTTATTACACAGTCCTGATTTATTTGGTAAAACTGTGTATTTCCTCAAGAATTTCTGCTGCACAGGTCTCCTTAATTGCAGCTGGGACAGACATACTTAATGATAAGCGGTAAAAAGACAAATTTTCCACTTTGTCAGTGATCTAAACAGAAAACAAAGAAAATCAACTCAGTGTTTTTTCATTTAAACTCACATGGACTTGAAGTAGTACACCACTCTTATGTTTTATTTTCTCCGTTGTATGAACATGGCAGGAGGGTAGCATACAATTTGTGCCACAATTCTTGTGTGGATCCATGCTGCCTCCATCTGTCTCCGCATGTAACCCCCAGATCTGACTAATCATCGTTGTCATGCATTGCAAACAGTGGGAACCAATCAGATACCCTCCTGATAGATGGAAATGTAAATACCAACGGAGCGCCAATTTTCCCCACTCTAGCTTTCACATCGCTGTGCGTCTTTCTGTGTCTGTGACCAGGTGGCAGCGGGTTTAGAAGGATCCAGCTCACAGGATCGCAGTGGTGTGCACATTCCACCATCAGCCCAACCCAGCGGCCTAACCTGCTCTCACAACAATCTCTGGTGAGGGTCTGGCCGGGCTCTATAATTTCTATTTGGTTCTTTTCCGGTTTGACCTTTGAAACAAGCAAAAAACAAGCATGCATGCCAGTTCAGTAATAAACGCCCGTTACTTTCTGCTTCCCACAGTCCTCGCTCGTATAAGACTGTGGCTCTGGAGAGAGGCCCGGCAGGCTTAGGCTTCAGTATTGTGGGTGGGTTTGGTAGCCCTCACGGAAACCTGCCGATCTACATCAAAACTATTTTCGCCAAGGTAAGAAAGACAAGACCCCTGTCGGGGATCGTCACTTGTGACTTTTCATAATATATCGTGGCGTTGCTTTTTATCCACTCAAAACAAAGTACGTCGGCCAGGCAGCATTTAGACCTCACTGCCTCCTTCCCTGTGTCTGACTATCAATTAACTCAGACTAAGACTTTCCCTTTGCTTTGCTTCTAATTGTCAAAGAAGACAAAAAAGTAGGAAGTGAAAGCATTATCCACTATTGGTGAACACTCCGAGACAAAAGCGATATTATTTCAGGCCCCAAGCAGCTGATAAGTGATTTGCCAAACATCATTTAGTCCCATACCAAATGTATTTTGTGTTTTTAACCGGTACTTTTCTCTTCGTGGCGGTGGACCCTGTGCTGTGCAGGGGGCGGCCGTAGAGGACGGCAGACTAAAACGCGGCGATCAGATCATTGCCGTTAACGGGCACTGCCTGGAGGGAGTGACCCACGCCGAAGCTGTGGACATCCTGAAAAAGACCAAAGGAACTGTGGTTCTCACCGTGGTCTCCTGAAGACGTTACTGAATGGTCTCTGGTTTCTGAATGCCTGGGTTTATCTGTTTTTTATCTGTTTTTTTTATTTATTTTTGGAAGTTACCTCTAACCTCAAAAGAGTGCTCGGGTGCGTATACAGGCAGGTTTTTATTAAATGTCATCTGCTTATGTGATAGAAGTCTTCATTTCATTGTCATGAAGGAACAAAACACTCACTAAAAAGGATTTTCACACAGGAGATGCTCCAAGAAAAATGAAAGTACATTTTCTTTTGAATACTCAGATTCAAACTCATGATTATGGACACTGTATTTATAGAAACATTTTCATATGTGCAGTATTTCCGTGGTCCCTTAACTCCTGTTCGTACAGAGTTACTTACTGTAAGAAACTCCTAAGACCAAAAACATGCCAAGTGCTTCTGCCAATCTTTTATGTGGCAACAAGGTTTTAGCGGGACATTTGTTTGACAGCCTGTTTAATTTGTCTTTACGTTCTCATGCTGTAATCATTAAAGATGTGTCATTATTGTCTTACATGATGTGTTTAGGGTTAGTACTAATCACCCCCTCACGTGAGGCAGATAGAGTGGTGAAAATTAATTTTGGTACATCTGTTTAAAGCAGCTGCTCATTATCAGTTATAAACTCTTTTTCTTGCTTTGTCGTGTTTTCATAGTATTACACTGTCAGGCTTACTAATTGCTTGAAGTATTCTTAAATGCGTTATGTCCATTCTGTATTCAGAAAACTCCTGATACCTGTTTTATATTAATTTATTTACATGTCATGCTGTTTTCATCATTTGATTAAATGTAATCCCTGGAAATGGACTCTTTAAATAGAAAAGGCTGTGCTAAAAGAAAAAAAAACTTTATAAATGCTCCAGGTGACAGTAAATGTTAAAAGAAACCAAATTTGAACAAGTGACTTCACTTGCTCACATTTTAACGTCATGTGACTAAGGTCGATGTTAGAAATTTCTCATACAGGCTTCTATGTTATTAATTATTAAGATATTAAGGGAAAAAGGACTCTGTAAGGCTTATTGTCGTAGTCATCATAGCCGCTGTGTTTGTTCGGCGCTATGTTGCATTGAAACTGAATGCACGGCATGTTAATTTTTAATCAGTTAAACATTCTTTGTAAAATGACATCAGTATTGTAAAATAAATGCAACAATATGCAACATTTCAGTCCACATCTCGGGTATTAATAAAATGTTGCCTCCCTGGAGTCAGATTTTGTTCTTATCTTTCTGGTTTTAATGCAGAAGGCTTTAATGCACTTAAAAAGAAGGTCTTTGAAAGAAGGTCTTTGAAAGTGTTTTCTTTTGTATGTTGGCTGCTTCTCACTTATTCTCAGCCTGATGTTTTGAGTCTGACCATTTGAGAACCATTCTTTGAAACAACTTCATGAAGTGGGTAGAAAAAACACAACTAAGCGAGTGCAGGCAATGATGAACGATAAAGGTGACCATACCAAATACTGACTTTTAAGTTGTACAAACAGTTTTTGACTGATGCTCTGATGTATCTGTACATTTTTCAATAAATCACTGAACATATTTGACATTTTCCGAGCATTATCTATAAATAGGACATCTCATGTTTTAATGACGAAAATATATAGTAACAGTCGAGTCTCAGCCAGTTAATCCGTTTTAAACATGAATGAGCAGCCTTGGACGTGATCTGCTGTTGGAGTTATGCATGCTGTTGCTAGATTTCATGCTTCTCCGTCTGTCTTTGTGAAAGATTAATACATTTTCAGAATTTGTCAGGGTTAGTTGAGTTAATACGATCAAATGTTTAACACTGGGGAAGTTGCAAACTGTAAATTATGAGAGCAATGGGGGATTAATCTTAGGGGGGGGAAAAAAGCTTTCTAGAAAGAGATAAAGATGTAACTCCAAAGTTAGGGCAAATAAATATTCAGAACTGGAAAAACAATGGTAGACTAAACCTACATTACATTTACTTCTCTTAATTTCACTCAAACTGTCAGTGAAACTGTCGGCCGCTTGACAAACGATGCATTTGCTCACAAATGTCTCATCAAGGAAATAGGAGCCATCTCGGGAGATCCTGTCTGAAGCTTCTGCATTAATCAAAGCCATCTGTTCACATTGCAAGCTTTATTGAAATCCAGCCATCATAGTCCGGTTTATCCTGCTCCAGATGAACAATTGCTTCCCGGCTTGTATGAAGAGGGTTTGAAAACAGAGAGATGGCAAAAGGTTTCAGTTTGTGGAGGGTGTTTTGCATTTTAGGGTGGTAACATAGTATTGGGGCATTCTTACTCATCTAATAAAATGTCATGCATTTACCTAAAAGGGATACTTAATATAGTTTAAATTGTCAATTCGATTTTGTGTTTTGTTTTCTTTTTTTGGAGCTGGATATAGGATGAAGCGCCTTTCTGACCTCATGCCCTTCCCACCATGCGGACAGAACACAATACGGCTAGGGTTATAAAACCCACAGCATAGATTATGCAGCGGCTTTAAATGAGGTACAATGACTTTCATAAGGGAATATTTGAAAAGCACTAATAATCCTCCCTCAGGAGAGTGGTGATGGCCAAATGATTGTTGTGTATGTGTCTATTTCCATGGATCAAGTATTGTGTCTTTTCTTATGTATCCTGGTGGTTCTGACAGAAGAGCCAACTCATGATGGATTTAAAAAAAAAAAACCTGTTCTTATCCTTCCATTCCCTTGAGGCTCTTTTTCCAGACATCCTCCTGTGCTGCAAAAATGCCAAACCCTGCTAATTCAGTCCAGTGCTGAGTCTGAAAATCCTGGGACCGTTTAAGCAAGACAAAAATATCCCCAACAGGAGGATTTGCTATAATTGCTGCACGGAGTGAAGACTTGCAGTTAATTGCGGCAATGAACTTAGATGCCACTGTCTCCGTGTCATTCAACAAAACTGAAGCAGGGCTGTCACCATTAAATCTACCAGGCTGATTGGAAACTTCGCAGAGAGGCGCCCACACGTCGCTCATTTTGCTCAGTGTCACAGCCCGAAGCAAGAAATAATTGCGCTTAGCCATGCAGTTTGAGTTTAGAAGCATTACACACTGCAGTTTGGGAGTTTTAAAACCACCTTTTTTAACTTTAAAAAAATACCCTGACTGTGCAGTGGTATTTTTATGCAGATTAACAAACAGACGTTAAATTATCTCGCTGCATGTGGGAGAAAAAAGTGCAAATCCACACATGTTTTCAGTATCAACAGACAAACATTCATTGTAGAATTTCTCTGAAAATTGAAATCGCAAATCTGCTTTTTTTTCCCCCTCTTCCTCTAAAAAGGGATGCCCATCCAGAGCATCAAAAGCCACAATGTGTACCAATGAATTATTTACATGAATGTGCGTCCCAGATCCCCAGAGATACTACCGGGGACATAATGTTTAGGCTCTGGCAAGCTTTGAGCCCCCACAAATGCAACATGGGGTCATAAATACTGGATGCTGTGCGCCTTTGTGCAGATTTACACCAGGCCAGGTGGTCCCACAGACAGAATCTGAAGCAAAAGCTGGCCTGCAAAACAAAAATGGTCAAACGGGACAAACTATTTTTTATGCACTGTTATGTTATATCTTTCAAATATTATTTACAGAGCCACAGAAAAACTCTTTAGCTCTCCTAACGCTACGATTTATGTATACCTTACAAGTTACATATTAAAACAAGCTAAACAAGGAGTTCCATTTCCATTTTGACTAAACCGTTGAATCGTAAAATGACCACAAATCAGTTGTCTTTAATAGTTGTGTCAAGTCTTCACAGTGTGTCAGAAGTAATGTCAGGGTTTTTGATGATTATTGAACTTTATCTTTATGGGTTTCAATGAATAATTACTCATGGCAAAGTAATTTAGGGTTTTTTAAAGAGCTTACTTTTTGAGGACTCATATTTCAACAGACCATGAATGGGAGAGAGCTTTGGGGTGCTTTTGCTGCATTTGCAGTAATGCATCATATCCACATGATGGTGTGTTTGTACTGTAATGAGCATGTCTGGTTGGCTCTCATTTAACCAGACTCACTGGTTAGAAGATTAACATTAAGTGGTGTGATTTGCCAGATGGCCTCAGGCTTGAGACAAACAAATTTGCACCTGCATGTAAAAAGGCCCGTATTAAGACCAGTCTGTGGTCTGTTTACAGCCATGCCTGCTGTTTGCATAATGGCAGGCCTGGTTAAAGTACAGACTCAAAGGAGGGGGAACACAGGCATTAAACTGTCTGTACGACGTTATCCATTTATCTTCTAGATAGATTAACACAGTCTGCATTAATATATAGTAGCACGATGCAGTTGGCAGCAGGAAAAGGGGGCAGGCCGACTGTAATTTTTCTATTTTAACATTCTGTGAAAGAGCTAAGGAGACTTTAGGGTTTATCAACATCTCTTTATCTATTCATTATCTCTTCATTGGTGAGTCTGACCCCAAAAGCTACACTTTGATTTCCCACTGATGCTACAAAAGACCTTCTAAACCTTGCCAGTTGCACTCACCATGGCAAATACCAACAAAAAAAACACAACATTTTCTTAGGTTTAAAACCAGTTCAACTTTATTGGAGGAAACTGGCGAATAAAAAAAAAAAAAAAAAGGTCAAACAAATGCATGAAAATGTCAAGGCCTCTCTCGGAAAGGTGTGGAATCAGACGACCGACTGTGATTTATCCAACCTCCTGTCGTCCTCTGAGTAACGCCGGAAAGTTTCTCCCAGCAGGGGCTCCAGGGCCTCTGCCGAGCTGTTGGAACGAGCTCGCACTACGCAGGCAATGACGCCGCCCAGCACCGCCACCACCACCACCGCCATGACAACGGCCACAGTTATGATCTCAGACAAGGTGAAGGCACGGGCTATGGGAGGGAAGAGGAGGGAGGATGGTCATTAGAGAGTAATTCATTTTTCTCCAAGTGTTTTTTTTTGTTTCTGTGCTCCTCACCTGGCCACTGGACCTCGTATGAGTACCCAAGGCTGTCCGGGGCGCTCACAAACATCTCAGCATTGGTTACAGGAGGCCAAAAGGGAACCATGTTGAACCTTCGGTTGTGTCCAATTGGAGCGTTTTCCTCTGGGTAAACAATCTCACCTGTCGGAGGAACATCGCTGTTACCCCGGTATTCATCATTCTAAGTCAATTCTACCGGTATGTGCATCTTTCAGTGCGTACCCGGTTGATGTCTGCGGAGCCACTCGTCAAAAACGGCGTCGGTGAAGGTGTGCAGCAAGACAAAGATGGGATCGTTGGGTGACAGATGGGTCTGTCCACCTGTCCCGTTGAGAAAGAGGTGGGCCAGGTTGTGGAGGCTGCGGATGACGGGGTCATACATCCCCTGAGGGGCACTGTAGCCTAGAGCCAGCAGAGCATAGAACATAAAAACGAAAACTCAGATTTACCAAAATTAGGAACAGCAAATGCCGTGTTGGAGCGAACCATATGTGCATGTGGGAGGAGGACTGAGGGAGTGGGAGCTCCTGGCTTGGGTTTGTATCGATACCGTCACGCAGAACTTGGGCACATTTATTTTTCTGAGCAACCGAGCCTCGATATTCTCATTCTAATCGATTGAGGGGAGGGAGAAAAACCAACTCTAACTTATGCGCTGCTAACCTTCAATGGTGTTCCTGAAGCTCTCGGAGGAGGTGGAGTAATACGGAGGAGTGTCGAAAGTGTTGAGCTCCAGACAGTCCAGCACATCCTGAGGCTCCGGCAGCCTCTGCACCATGGGCCGCGCCACGTTGCCCGCGGGGTTCCTCCTGATGGGACTGCTCTCCGAATCTTGTTAATGAAATGAACACGCAAGGTCACAGCCAGTGAATCCTGACTCAAACGAAATGCGAACACCCAGAACAGATCTCAGAATGTGCCCTATATTTCCAAAGAAACACAGAAAACTGCGTGGGAAGGTTTCTGCTTTGAATTAGTTATTAGCGACAAGACAGGATGGCATTCAAGTTGTTCGATTTTTAAAATGAAAGTCAACAGTAGCCAGTGGGAACATTGTGACTGAAGTTTTTTTTTCTTGCATGCATGATCTGTCTTTCTTTTTATGGATTCTCTCCTCCACACAAGCAGTTGGGGGGGGGGGTACATAACTGAGTTGTCTCTGTGTTTGAAGATTATTCCTTCAGATCAAAGGAAGCAGGAGACTGCCAGATTCTTGTCTTCAACAAGCAAATGCACAAATGAGGCACCCGGTCCTCCCAAACTCCATTTAAGGAGTTATTGCTTGTTAGCCCAAGAAATAACAGACCTGTCATGATTATATCGGCCAACTTGCATATTTCACCTAGTTATTCAACAATGTTTTCTCTTCATAACATGAAGCTAGGCAGCATCTCTCTTTAGGTGTTTAAGGTATTGTACTATGGAAAAACAATTACAGATTTTCTTTATTCTTTCACCATTTAAGCCTATAAGAAGGAACCATATGAACTTGGTATGTTTGAATACAATTGCGAAAGGCTGGGGTTAATCTGGTGCCAGTGTGGAAGGAGGACCAATCCTCACAAATCTAATCACCCTGCCCAGCTTACGCAGCATTAACATATTGAAGCAAAAGAATAACCCTTATTCTGCTCAAAATCTCGTGACTCGTTCTGAATCTGCACTTGGAGAAACTACTGTCAGCTCTGATGTCTTTTAATGAGAAATTCAGTCACTGACTGAAGAAAACAGATAGGGCGAGCAACCCAAAAGGCTTCGTTTGACTACTAGAAAACCGGTAGTTTCAAAACAAACAGTACTAATAAGCAAACAGTGCTGAATTGAGCACAACAGCTGCAAGGTATTATTTATAGCAGCTTATGTTCTACATGTTCTCTTTACGAGCTCCTTGCCCTCTTTTTCTAATGCAGCTGAGACGATGTGGTACACCAGCCGCACCAGCCGACTTAGCAGCGAGGAATAATGAGTATTTGTGTAGCTGTCATTACTGTTGCAGATGGTGCCCAAGGAGTCGTAGTCCTCCACACTCTCGCAGATGACCCTCCACTGAGAGAACACAGAGTTGGGGCTGATGGAGTTCATGTCGAATGAGCTCCTGGCTCCCAGGAGGTCGTCGGTGCAGATGTCACAGTCGCTGCCTCCGATGGCAAAGTTCCAGTAGGGCAGGGCAAAGGTGGGATCCCCCAGCATGTCCTGCGAGGCGAAAGGTGGTTTGACTAAATGTACACTATATCAAAGTAAGCTTAATTAATAAACATCCCTGTTGGCTACTTCTTTCTCCTGCTAGATAACTTCCATCCATCCATTTTCGTAACCGCTTATTCCCAAATGGGGAATACTCACTCGCACTCACTCCTAAAGGCAATTTGGAATGTACAATCAACCTAACATGCAGGTTTCTTGACAGTGGAAGGAAGCCAGAGAACCCAGAGCGAACGCAGATGCAGGGAGAACATTCAAACTACACACAGAAAGGTCCTGGTTCCCCTGGGGACTCAAACCCATAACCCTCTCGCTGTAAGGCGATGGTACTAACCACCCCACCACCCACTATAGGACTTTCAAGTCTACAGTAATTTATAGACTCTTCCAACCCCTGCTCTTTCGTCTCCACACTTTACCATCTTACAGACCGGATGCCCATGTTCTTTTCTCGTTCCAACCTTCCTTCTCCATAATTTCTCTCCACTCACCTGCATGTCTCTTTCCAGCTGCAGCAGATGGAAACGATGCCAGGTGACAAAGCCCGGGCCCTCGTGGGAAAAGTCCACGCCTCCAAAGCTCGTCTGGCCCGGACCGAGGTATGTCTTGCTGACTGAGTAGTAGTGCGTCCAAACAAAGTAGTTGTAAATGGTGATGTTCTCAAACTGGGGGGTGTTACCATCTGGCCCATACACCTCCTGGTACCTAGAGATAAGGACGGAATGTTTCTCTTTTATTCCATACTTTGGACACTGCTGCAAATTAGCCAATCTATCCCCCAAAGTCGCCCTGATTAATTATAGGTGACGAGAGGCATTGGAAGGAAAGGGATGTATATACATTTTTCTTCCTCGATGTAGCTGCCAAAGGAAACTTGGATTGAAACGTGTGCCTTGTAGCTAAACGCCAGGGCATACAGGAGAAAGTAATTTTTTTTTATTAGGAGGTTAAATGGGTTTCTGTACCTCCAGGTTATAACTGCTTTAAAATTAATCTACTACTATCCTCAGCTGATTTGGAAGGAGGTTATTCACAGATTTATGTAGGCCTAGTGTTACTTAGAAGATTATAAGTCCCTTTGCTCCTACCTAATTTGCACATCCATCCTGCAGCTAAAACAGAAAAGCAAAAACAGAAAAACAAAAAAAAAAGAAAAGAATTTGGATGGAAATCTGTGCTGCATAGCTTTATAATGAATTTATCTAATTAAAAAACTAAATCTTAATGTCCAAACAAGAGCAAAAATTGTCTATCCCTATCCCTAAAATCCATCCTCATTTGAAATCAGTGTGGCGCTTATGTACCTTCTCGTGCAAATGACCAGGTCAGGGTGAACAGTCCTCTTTGCTTGGTCCAAGGCGTTCACAAAAGCTTGCTTCTCAGCTGTGCTCATCTGCATGATATTTCTCCTCACTAGAGTGAGTTTAACATGTACAAGATGTCAAGAGAGTGACTGGTTTAAATGGGTAAAGAGAAAAATACCATTAAAGCTTTGATTACAAAAACTTCCCATACACATACATAGATGTGACCTTAACTTCTCTGGTGATGTAAGGCTTTCAAATGTTAAATAAAGACAATAGGAAACAGTTTTCTTGAACCTGTTAGTCCAAGCAGCTTCAGTTTTTCTTACCCACTGAGATTCTCTGGTCACAGTTCGGTCCACTCATCCCATGCCTGCATCGTCCACAGTTGTAGCCGGTGAAATTCCCATTGCACTGGCAGGTGCGGTTGAAATATCTCAAAGGCCACCTCTCTCTGTCGTCACGCCCGGCGTAGGGGTACTGCGGCCCGTGCCGACGGCTGTCGGCGGCAATGGAGACGCACTGGCCTCTCCCCGTGCTGGCGCCGCACTCGTCCCCCGCCACCCCGGTAGGGGACGGGCAGCACTGGCCGCTCTGCAGCCCGGCCACGGTGACGCACTCCCGGGGGAACTGGGCTAGCGATAGGCTGGCACAAAAGGCCACCACCAGGAGACCCCCTCTCCATATGCTGAGCACAACCAGGGGAGAAGAGAAACAGCAGGAGGTATTTTATTCAATGTTGGAGGATGAGAGGAAACCACAGACCAAAGGATTTTTCATATTCTTCCTTTTTTTTAAAAAAAATAAGTTTTGGGGACCAGATTCATTCCAGAACATGTGGGTAAAACGAAGACAAAACAGTGCAAAAGCCACAGTTAACATGCATTTTTTTTAAAACACAATTGTTCCTAAATTACAACCATTAAGTTTGACTTTTAAGGATGCCCTTATTGGCAACGACCCTTAAAAGTTTCTTACAAGGAAGGCCTTAAATGATCATTTCCTTTACATTTTTTGTATTACAATTTGCCTAACTACTGAAGTTTGGGAAATGCCTTTTTAGGGTGATGATCCAATAAAACTGGGACAAGACTAAAGCAATAAAATGGCCCCATCACATGAAATAACTTGCTTGGCATCTCTCATTAGTGTAACGACATCAAAGCAACTTCTTGAGTCGAGCTTTAGGAGCCTTTTCCAACTTGCCGTGTTAGAGGTGATCGATGTGAACGCGGTGCCTTACCTCTGACCATGCATGCTGCTCCTCTGTGTGCAAAACCGTAGCCCCCCCAAAGAGCCGGCCCGTCTCCCTCTCCATTCTTAAATAGCAATCGAGCACATGACCGGACCTCTTGCGGGGCTTGTGTAAAGCACGTTTGCACTCATGCACAAAGGCAGCAGCACACACAGAGGACGACACAACACTTGAGGGTAGTAGAATGTGTATGCCTTGTGATTTTCGCTCAAAGGAAACGGGTCTGCGTGATCAGCCACAGAAAAGCCTGTGAGATGGCAGTCATGTCTAACTCACATTTGAGAAAATATAACTGAGTAACAGCAACAGCTGGTTATGCAAGTGGGTAGACAGGTGATTAAGGGAAAGATAAAGCAAAACCCATACCAAGAAGAACAAAGGAAGAAACCCATTAAAGATTCTCATTTTAATACTCAAATCCGAAATTAATAACACAAACATCAAGAGTTAATGTGAGTACAAACCAAATCAGGTTTGAAGCTCTGCCTCAAGTCCTTGAAATCCTTCTTTTTTTAATATGGCTTGTGTTTAAGAATTTATTTCATCACCACGCTGCCCTTTATACAGTGTTTTCAGCAGCTTAGCCTGGCATCACTGATGTGGTCAGCATGAAAAGCATTCCTTAGCAATTCCATTGCAGCCTAAAGACTTTACAGACATCAAACTACACACTTGACAGCTTTATTACATGGACACACTCGCACATTTATCAAGTATATATCAATCTAGAAACACCCCTTCATTCATACATGCTGAAAGAATTACAGCTCTTTTTTTCTTTCAGGTAGACAGACGGTTATACACACCGGATATAATTGTGATACATTTACACTTGTCAGAACAGCTGGAATTTAAGGCGGTTAGTTTGAGATGGTGTTCCTGTTGTTTAATTTCATTGGGTTCGTAGAGTATGTACAGTAGGTGAACTAAGATTTGAAAGTGGCTTTTTGGGAAGGTCTATTTAAATACAGTAAGCACAGACTTAGGGGTTAGACCCCAAGCACAAGCATACACTATATGGAGGTTTTGAGATCTGCTGAGGAGTCTGAACCTGGTCCGGTTTCAGCCCCTTCCTCATTGGAGCTGGGCAGGAGGTCTGACATTGCTATCGGATGCTCATCTTTATGCCGCTCCCTTTCTTTGGCTGGAGCTGCATCGGACGAGTTAAGCATGGCTATCCTAGCAGAAAGAACAATCGGTCAGTTGGCAGATATTTAATCATTTCAATGGATGACTTGGAAAAAAAGAGAAAACAATGGGTGTATGATGAGAGAAATAACTGACAGTGAGTACAACCACAAACAATAGTAAGGGATTTTAAACTAATTATATCGAGATCCCTTTTTATCTTAAGAGGATAACAAAGACTGTCATCTCGTCTTGGGACCCTCTAAGGTGAAGGTAAAACACAGAGGAATTCAGTGTGTTTATAATGTTGTTTAATTGCTGCTGAATATCCCGCAGCGAGCAAATGCTAATGATCTCACTGGAAGGCTCTTTTCTTTCATGACTTCCACGCCAGATGGAGAAGCTTACAAAGCGCTGAAATGAGACACACTGGGAAGTTATGACACACTTAAATATACATAGATCATCTCAGATGGTGGAGAAATTACAAGCGGGGTACATTGTTAGACATACTCCAGTCAGTTACCCCTAAAGGAAATCACATCTAACCTGTCAAGTTTTAGATAAGAGGGGAATTTCGGTGCAAGATAAAGTTTGGCATCTAAAAGGTTTAAGATCATGACATATGACAAAACTTTTTATTTGAAAGTTAGTACAGATTGAGGTTGGTTGTTGTCTAACACAACAGAACTGTATATCTGTAAATTTGTCTGCACATTCTTAATACGCAAAGTCCATGTTTGGGTCCCTACTTTGGGCCTTTTCAAAAGGTTTAGGATTATAAAAGGCAGGTGTATACATTTTGTTTACTGTTCATTGTTTGTGCTGGGACATTCCCATGGTCTGCTTGCACAAAAATGCTACTGCATCTGCCGCAATGAGATTACAGGTTCAGCTTATCTGTGTGAGGTTATGCATCGGTCAAAGGGAGCTACAGCGATTTTAAAGTTCAAAAACTGACCACGGAGGACAATGAAATAGTGTGTGTAAAGTCAAATTATATGAAGCTGCACAGTGTGAGTAATGATACCTTCTGTTCCAATCCAAGCTGTTTCATTAACTTCTATCCATGGAAACATATTATCCAGTCCAATAGTGGAAACAAACTAAGTACATTCACTCAGCTGCTCCAATAAGCAATATATGGGGTCATTGGTCAACATGGCAGCATGGAGAGAAAGCTCCTCTTGGAATATGGAGTTGAGATTTTGAACCAGGAAATCACCTGCTGAGCAGTCACTGTACCCAATTTTATTATCCTAATTGTACTTACTGGCATGTACATAGTTAATTTTGTGACTGCAAAGTGTTCTTTTTTTGATACTCCCCTTTTCTTGAGATTATGACAACTTGTTATCCAAAGGACGGCATGTTCGCTAGAGAACAGGTAGCCCCATGTGTTAACATCTTATTCCATTATGTTGTGTTGTTATAGTGACATATGAGGAGGAACCACAGCATTTGGCTGAGAAATGTGAGTGTAAACAAAGTCTAAGTACTCAGACAGGGGCCATTTATTTTCACCATCTAAAGTACCTCAAATACTAGAAAACAAACACTCCATTGTGGATAAGGTGCCCCAATAGCCACAACGAAATATCAAGGTTTGAGCCATTTTACAAAGTGGAAAATTTGCTCTTCTGAGTAGCTGTTCACTTGGCTCGGGATAGTTAAACTAATCTAATGAGCGCATTGATCTATTAAAGGTCAGACACTGAAAGTGCATAAGCACTACACACAACTTCAAACATACTCATGCACCACTCAAAGTTAATATTAGCGGCATTCAAATTCAAAGTGCTGTTTGCATAATTTCTTCAATGATTTTATTCCACTAAAATGCTCTGCTCTGAAAAAAATACATTTTATGTGTTTCCCTTTAACTTTTGATACTGATGCTATTAGGTTAGTTTAACCAAAATCAAAAGAGAGTTTTTACATGTTACAGAGAAAAAAAATTAAGTTTTGAAATGGATAGCTTATCATGAATAAAAAGATTTTATTAAGTCCCTTCTAAGATTACTCTTAGATTTGTATATGGACCAGTTATGGACCTAATTCATTGTTGGTTTGTCACATTTGAACATTTTCTTTGTCTCATACACTTGTTTGGCAACACAATGGACACTTTTGTAAGCTTTGGTTGAGTATTTATTATCTGTAACTAAAATTATTGGCATGCATAAACAGTCAAATCTCGCCTTTACTTCTAAAAGTTTTTCCCCCAATTTTGTCCACAAATTATAACCACGTATTTTCACATGGTCACTCCGAGTAACCACCCATACACACACACACATGCACTTCTGGTTTATGGCTGATCCCAGTTGGCTAGTCTGATTAAGAAAAATCCTAATATTACTCTGGGAGGCTCTGGGTTCACATTCTCACTCGTTCATGTGACACAGTGAGCACATAGACTACAAACTAGCCCGGAGGTAATCAGCTGAGAAGCACATAACTGGTAGTTTTTTATGAAGTGCAGGTCTACAGGTCAGTGCATGACATTTGGTCAGCTGATGGGTGGAAGGTCTAACATTCAGCAAAGGGGCTGATACTAAAGGATTGATTTGAAGCTGGCAGAAAATCACACTGCAGGAAGTTAACTGGCAGAGAGATAAACATATCTGAGTTGTTTTATTTTGCTGTTGTTTCTTTTTTTTAACTAAAGGCAATCTATGATGATATCTGATGAATGCGCATAGGGACATCTTCATGTTTTTAAAGACATTAAGTAACTCAGATTCAACTCAATAGTTACAAAACTTGCTCACACTCTTAAATCCATCTGAATGTTCAAACATATTCTTACTTTGTAACCTCTACAGATAGTCTAAAGTGGGTACGTACTGTTGAGTGTTGCCCACAGGCAAAGTGTCATCACTGCAATCACCCCCTGTGGCCGCCTCTGGTTCAACACACCCTTCTTCACATGTCCGCTGCAGGTCCAGGGAACTGCGCACACATAAACATGTGAACAATGTTCCTTTATCACTGCAATATTACTGTATTATCACACCATTGCCCTTCCATTAATGAACTATTATATTGTCTTCGGTGGGAGAAGGTTTTCAGAACGGGGTTAAAAAAACAACAAAAGCATGTTCTTGCACTCAGACAACTCACTTTTGTGCACATAAAGGGGAAATATGGAATCAATAGAGAGTACAGTCTCTTCATTTCATCATCTGTCAGTATTGAAATGTTAGCTGCAGCTTGGGTAACATCAGAAGCAATCATGTACCAGCACTGCTGTGAGACCCATCTGTGAGTGTAGGCCTGTTGGTGCTACACATAACAGTCAGATGGCTTATTTCAGATATTAGGGGAGAAGCACTTGGATGTGGCAGATTACTGTGAATGCATACAAATAATTTTTCTACTTTCTTACTCATGAAAAGTAAACATAAAACAGTCTGCTTTTCGAAAAAAAAAATGGTTTGCAGTGGAAATATTTGTTTTTGACTGTTGGATGTAAAATACAGCTAGGCTTTCCAAAATCTTATTAAAAAGCAGGCAACGAGAAATAATCTTGGCTATAACATTGGCTGGAAGTTAAATAGCAATAAAGAAAAATTGGATGCCATTAGAACACTAGGCGCATAGAAACAACATTTTGAATGAATGGTGTTTCTCACTGAGTGTCTGTGAAAGAGGAAAACACACAGAGGACAGAGTTCTCTGCTTAACACAGAATCCCACCCACCCAGATTGCATTTGGCTCCAATTTGGCATGACTCCTGAATTGATTGGGGTTAACTTTGATTACGATTGGACACAAGCTGTGAGTGCTGACATCACAACAACTGGGGTGAAAGCCAGCTCTAGTTGGCAAGCTCTGTTTATGAATAAACAGACCACAATTCTTAAGTGCATAAATGAAAATATATAAAATGCAATATTTGATTAAATTGTCAGTTTAGTTGACCCTGTAATCTTTACCGTTCTGATCTAACAGTCTATCGCCATTCAAATCCAGTTTAGATTTTATTGCTCTGTTTAAAGTGAAGTTTCAGCAAAGGATTTATCAGAATGGTACTTACTGCCACTTCCACCAATGTCAAAAATTACAACTGTCTTATTTCCTTAAGCATTTATACATCCACAGCCCCTTTCAGCAAGTTAGGAGCAGCAGTTAGCCAGCAAAGTCAGCTAGCTCTAAGCTAATGCGAGAAACATCAGTGCTAAGTCAGGTGAACCTTTGGATTTGATCATCAAGTCCAAACCACAGAAACCCTCAGCTAAAAAACGCTCTACAAAACCTATACACATCATAGACTTAGAATTTTAGCATCTACTCAGCTTGTGTCGCATACAAATGATGTCACAGACCAGTCAGCATGTATTTCTGTCAAGGCCTCATCTATTGTGGAAACCCCCCCCACACTGAGTTGTTTTAGCATCTAGGGCAGACAGAATACAAGTTCACTGACCTTTTTTGGGTTCTGCATTTGAGGATATAGACAATGATGACAACAGTCTCTATAACAAGGAAGACTGAAGCAAAAATAGCACCGATCTTCCATGCTTCCAGGTCCTGGTCACTCGTCTCTATATGGGCACAGTAGAGAGAAGGCAAAAAGTGGTAACCACTAAAGAATCAAACTCATGCTCTATCATTTGATGCAGATAGAACGTAGAATATGTCTCATTATTAGCCTATTGTACAACTTTATCAATGGAACAACATAAACAACAACAACTTGCCATTGAACGAACTTCATGCAACTCTTAGGGGTTGTAAAAACCCCTAAGTGACCACATTAATTACTACTGGTTGATCTTTTTTCTCATCCTTTTACCTTCTGTGTTACCTCTAGCTGCAGGTACATCTTCCACCTGCTCATTGGCCTCCCCTGGTTCCTCTCCTTCAGTCTGAGCAAGTCCAGCCACAACATCATTCTCCAAATCGTCACGTGTCGGTAGGGCCACGGCAGGGTCATGTGGCAAAATGCCAAGAGTGGGGATGATGGGCTCATTGCCATGGTCAGAACTCTCTTGACCAAGGGTATTTTCTTGATTCTCTACCTCAGCCGGGGGTGGATTAGACGTGGGGGGCTGGATTTCAGGGTTCTGCTCTGTAGAGTCCTCGGCAACATTCTCAGGCAGTGGGCCAGAGATCCCCAATATCTCTAGAAGAGGAGTTTGGTATGTAACACACACATGAAAATTAAGCCTAGAGGCCATGGTGTAGGGTTTGTCAACTGTACCTATGGAATGTAGAATAATGCATAGATGGGCTGGTGCTGAGAGTGAGGTGAAGCGCATCTTTTGAGTGTAAAAGATTTTAGACATCATCTCAGAATTCAACAGGGAACAGCATACATCTTGATTTACTTCAGCAAAGACTAATACATGACACTATGACAAATGTGTGTTCCATGGCTGAAAGTGCAGTAAATCAGTAATGATTAAGAATGGAGTTTGTCACAATATACAAATGCTTAAACAAGTCATTACTCCATTTTGCTATAGGAACAATAGTTCAAGTATGGAGATCAAAAGGTTCTTCTTGTATCATGTTTTGGTTGCACTGAGATAACTAGTTGTTTGAAAGACTTTTGTCACTCTTTTTGTTGGAATTAGACACATCTCACCTTGATCCTCTTTATCACTGCCAAGCGAATCCTCCACTGTATCCTCTCCAACTTTCTTGCCACCTCCCTCATTCACCAAAACCTCAGAATTGTTTTTCATCACACCATCATCAACCTTTACATCTCCAGTTTCTCCTGTTAAATCTGCATCTTCTTCTACCTCTTCTTGAATTCCTCCTTCGACAAAAAGTTGATCTCCATCTCCTTCTATTGGCCCTTCTGTGTCCTCTGTCTCGATTCCTTCCTCGTCTTCATCTTGTTCTCTTTCAATGGGCTGTGTTGCTTTTATTTCATGATCATTTGAAGGCAGTGCTGTTGCATCAGTCTGATTTACGTTGGTTGGAGTTTCTTCTTTTGGAGCCGCTTCTTGTTCTTGGTCATTTCCCATTTGTTCTTCATCAACTACTCTCAGGATGGGGTCAGACTCTTTCACGGTTTGTTGTTTTGGCTGCACATCCACAGCTACCTCCACAGGAGCAGGAGCTTCTTCCGGTTCCACCATTGCTGTTGTTTCAGCTTTTTCTACTGACAACACAGTCTGCTCTTTTTGGCCTTCATCCCCTTCTTCCTGAACTTCTAAATCCCCTTCTGCCTCTTCTGAATCTCCTTCTGTATCCTCCTGACTGAATTCAGTACCTAGTAATTCTTTAACAACATCCAAACCCTCTTCTTCACTGACTTCAGTCTCCACAGTTTCAGTTGACTCCTCCACAAGTCCAGCTGCTGTGTCACCCTCTCCTTGTACAGCACCTTTCTCCTCTCCATTTTCAAATGTATCATTTTCTACTACTACCTCTGTCTCTTGAGAGCCTACAGGTTCTCCCTCTTTGTCTGTATCACCATGCTCGAGGGGCTGCTCTAAAACGTCATCTACAGCTTCAGCCACACTCTCCTCGACTTGAGCTCCCTGTACATCCTCCTCAGCTACTGTCATGCCATTTTCTTCGCTCCCTCCTTCTGCTTTGCCAAGAGCTGCCTCTACCACCCTCTCCAGCAGCTCCTTTAAGACTTCCTCTGCCCCACGGCCCTCCACCTGCTCCGAGGCCTCCTGCACAGCCTGCTGTACATCCTTTAAGCTAGGAGGGGAAACTACTGGCACCACCTCAGCGGCAGACACCTCTTGCTCCCGGGGTAAAGTCTGGCCATCTTGGTCGGTGACTTCAGTTGGAGACTGGGTAGAGGTAGATACACCTAAGAAGAAAGTATCAAGCAATTTGGATGTTTTGTTGTAGGCACAGTCAATAGAAAAGCCCTTTGATCTAGTTTTAGTCCTGCTAGTTGCGGTAAATACTGATGAGGAAAAGGACACGACGATACTTCAATAGTTTCTATGCCTCCCTTCATTTAGACATACCTACACTCACTCATCCAGTCATTGTTTTACCACTCAAAACAACAAATTGCACACAATCATTACAGAAGCCATTGGTGCATTTTGATCTATGTAAAAGATGTTGTCAAAAGCCTGCATTTGCATCACACTACCCTACCTTCAGATGTGCATTGTTGCATTAGCAAAATCACCAGGAATCCTTTTAAAGTGCTGCATCTCATGTTGTCAGAGGATGAAAAAGATACAAAGTCTCTCCAAGGAATATGCTCCTTTGGTCCTTCTTTCCCCCCAAAAGTTCTGTACAAACGTAAAGTCTGAGTGTGAGCTCAACCACAAACCGCAGGCAGAGTCCGTAGGCTGTGGATCCCTGGACAGTAAATTGGGCCTGTCCAAGGGAGTGTGATGTTAAGAGGTGGCAAAGAAGTGAGGGAGGGTGAAAAAACGGACATTGCCATGTTAGAAATTGCCGCTCCGAGGGTTCGTCGAACCACCAGGTGTTCCTACATAAAGCAGCACTTCGATGTAAAATGCTTTTGAGACTTTTACAAGGGCTGTGGTGAAGCATCGGCGGCATGTCACACACACACAGTGAACTCTGGAGGAGCAATTATAGGTGGACTGTGAGATTTGTGCATGTGCGATGGTACATGTTTGCAAGTGTGGCTTGACGTAGAAGTAGGGAGAGCAGATCTGGGTATAACACATAAAAGTTTAAAACAGGGCTGCAACGCATCTGGAAATGTAGTATTCTCTCTATTTTAGTATACATTTATTATGTATTTATTACATATATTATATATACACACATATATATGTAATCCATGATATGTAATAAAGATCATGTTTATGTTGTGTGGATGCTGTGGATGCTAGTCCAGTACAGCGGTTATATAGGATCCCTGAACTTCAAGTATTCAGCGTCAATCACAGAGTTTTGACATAGACAATGAAAAACCCCAAGATACATTTCTATGAAGTGGTTTGCTTATATTCATATTAAGGTTACAGTCACTAAATATTCCTGAGTGTACAAGATAACGATTCAACTGGCTGTGCTGAAAATTTCCGAGTCAAGTGTGGGTTTGAGTGTCTGTGTTTTCCTCTAATGAATAGAATTGCCTGTACAGATGTATGTGGATTGCAGATCCATAGATAGAAGAAAAGATTAAAAAAATTGCAGCGCAATGTATAGTCCTTTGTGAAAAATATTTGCACAGGCCTCATTTATTTATTCTGTAAATTGCCAGGAAATGGGGGGAGTGGACACAAAGGAAAATACATACAGTTCATTAGGAAAAGCAGGAGTTAGAATATAACAAGCTTGACGGCCAATATTTGGGTGGATCGCCTGTACTCTTTGATTCTGCCACATTTAGTAACATTGAGGCCGAGGCTCTGGAGAGGTTTCATCCCTCCATAAAACCCGTCGTCATTGATTTTAACCCCAGTTCTTCTGTCATTTGAAATTACTAATCGGTTTCTATATGTTCCCTTTCATTAAAAATGGTCTCAGTGTTAGCTTCTCTGCCATGGAGACCAGGATGGATCGCTGGATCTACATGCTTTATCTCATGTTTTGAGTTTGGTCTCATATTTTTTAAGGACATCACTTTCGGACACTGTTCATCTAACATTGATAGCGTTTCTTAGCCTTGTTTCTTTTTCTCTTGTCCAGTTTTCAGAACATTTTTAGAGACGCACTAAACACCATTTGAGTTTTTAAATAACAAAACTTCAATAGAAAAAAAATAACAATACAAAAGTTTTATCTCATTGGAGTAAAATTACCTTATATTTCAACTTTTCATACAACTAAAGAAAAAGACAGACCTTTTATGCTTGAATGATATGAAGGTTGTTGTTTCGTGACTAAGAAAACAAAGCAATAAAAGAAACCCAAAAAGGATCAACATACACTTATGGTTGGATACAAGATTGCACATGTGAAAAAGTACACAATTTACAAAGAAAAACCTTCAAAGACCTTTAAAAAGGCCTGGGGAAAAATGATCAAAGATAATTTTACAAGTTTGAATTCTTACAAACAAAGGGACTCATGCTTTAGGGATGTCACTATCAGAGGGAATGTCACTAACAGCCAGTTAATCCCGTGTTAGCTGATTCCAGGAATCCTAAAACTCGTGCCAGAGATCATGGATACAACGGTGTTTTTAAGTATATGTGTAAGTTATGTTTGTTCACAATGTAAAAAAAAGAAAAAAAATGCAACAGAGAGTTGAAAAAACTACAGTTTCCTAAAAATCAACATTTAAAAAAAAAAATCAACATCAACCTTGTCCCAACATAACATATCTGTACTTTGGTAATCATGGTTAAAGCACTGATTTAGAGTCTGATATGCTCTCAAGATGTTTTGTCAAGCTAATTGGATCAGTTTCTCCCACATCACTGGGAAAATATGAGACTAGAAGAGCATTTTGTTCTTCCTCTGATTGTTGTCAAAAAAACTGATAATTATAGAAAGGAATCAAGTGCTGTGCAATTATAAAACATTTTGATTATGATGAATCGCATGAATTCCCTTAGGTTAATCGTGATTAATTACATTATTATGCACATCATTTAATAAATCATATAGCAGTGTATATCACATTTTAAAGTACTGTTTTATGGTAAAACCCCAATAATGTTTTATGCAAATATTGAACTAGGTAGTTTATACCGCAGTATTGAACATAATCAAATTACATCATTTCAAATCAAACACACAGCCAAAGTTATTTACCATTGCTAGAGCAATAAAGCATGTTTTGAATTTAAATTATATTCCAGATCAAAGTCAAATTTGCTTTGTTTCTTTACCCACAAAACCAATGACCGTCTGATTCCAGATTGAAAGCTACACTTTAGTTAACTGAGAATCCCAAATAATTGCTAAGTAAATTTAAATCAGTCAAGCTCAACCACTTTCTCTCGATAAATCAGGCTAGATTAGTGCGCTGGTAAACCCAAGATTCCTTTTATAATCAGTCAGGCCAAGTGGGTCTGATTTCTTAATATGACCAATTTTACACCGTCAGTCTTTTAAAAACAAATGCTTGATTTTGTTGTAACAAAATTGTCATGCCGAATACTTTAAACCATCATCTGAAGAAACCGTGAAAGGAGGCATTTGTGCTGAGCATAAACAGCCCTATTCATTCAGGATAAGGTCAGAGGAAAATAGACTTATAGGCCAAAACGATTTAGCATTTAGAGCTGCCTCATTCAGTGCAGGCAGAGATTACAAATTGATAACAGTCAATCTCGTCCTTTTTTCACCCAATTTATCCTGATGTATGTCCCAAACCTTCTTTTTGGGAATGTTTCCACGGCCCCATTTTGTGTAGATATTTACTGTATTGTGCTTTTCAACCAAGTCAGCTGATGCCGACCACAGGCTCCATTGAGTCTCCTGTTGAGGAACCAGCATGACATAAGTACAAACTCCTCTAGTGGAAGAGACTACTTGACCCACCAGCCTATTATATTTCTCGGCCCTCAGCAGGGACTCTCTTTTCAAAGCTATGAAACTATCTGCAAAAAAAATAATGGAGACCCCTCTGTCAGAGTTGGTATAAGAAAATGTCAGCGTTGCTCTCTGTGGTTTTTATGTGGCGTTTGAAGCCCCATTGGGTGCTACAGAGTGATCTTTCCTCCAGTATGATTTACTTGACAATTCTTGTCAAATCTGCATGTCTCCATATCGCGCGAGTCTCTGTTCTCCGTGTCAAAGCCAACCGCGGAGAGGAGCCGAGACTTGGGGAGTCTCGGGGGAGCAACAGAATACATGTGAATATCCCTCTCTCGGTGGCGTGCCTTTTGGAATTCTCTCGAACTTTCATCTCTCGGTTTTTCTCCCTCCTCCTCTCATTCGTGACTGCAGGAGATTAGGTCTGAAAGGTTAATACAGTCACATGAGTTTCACGTTGCGCTTTGTGCTACCAGGCAGTAGCACTTCATACTTGGCTTGTGACTGGGCTGCGGAGGGGGATTATCACAAAGATGCATACTGTATATTGTCTGCCCACTCATGCTTGTGTGGCATCTTAACACATAATTGACTCAAGTATATATAAATGCAAACAAATCCTGGCCACATTGTTGGCGAAATATGTGACAACAGTTTTTTAATAGCAAATTCTATTTTGATAACAGCAATAGATTTTAAAAGAATGAAATTCCTTTCTTTTTTTTCAGAACAAACGCCGGTGTCTCTATGAATAGCAGGTTTCCCCAAAAGGGTGTTGACCAACTGTCGTGGGTTGCTCATGCAAAACTCAAAACATTGTTCGGGAGCGTGTAAATTCTGAGCGGCGTGTAATTTCTGAGGCTCCTCTGTGTGTCGGGGGGGTGAGGAGCAGTACCTTGTGCTGTGAGGCCATAAGAGTTGCTGTCTGTATTTCACACGGGCATGTTGGAATTTCTGATGCACTTTCCATGAAAAGAGGGCGATGAAGGGGAGTAACAAGCGTTAACCTCTACCCCGGCCCGGTGGCTTTACTTGCCAACACCACCATGTTTTCCAGCCTGCGGCACGTCAGTGGGATCTGCTGCCCCGGTCCAGCTTAATGCCGCTTTTAAAGGTGGGATGTACAGGCGTGGGCTTGCTAATGACCGCCATCTACAGGCAAGGACAGGGAACTAGTTGGCTGTTTGGCCAGCAATTGATATTGAGCAACACTTTGTTTTAATTCCTCCTCGTTCTGGCAGTTGATGGATTGTTTGCTGGAACTTTATGTCATCCTCACTGTTTGAAAATGAGCACCGGAGAAATAACCGAGGAAACACTCCTAAAGTTTAATCAGAGCTGATCTGAAGACGGTTGCCCACCTCCTCCCTCTGTCACGTCGCACTGCAATGTGACTTCAGTGGCCTAGAAGTCCAAACAGAGGAGATCTTTTATGTTTTCAATAAGTGGATTGTTTTTAGTCTGAGAATAGGTACCAGATTTAGAGTTTGTTTTTAGTTTTCAGTTTTACCTGTAACAGCTATCCAATAAATCATTTGGGTAAAGTCTTAGTTTCTTAGTAAAGTTTTGCTGTTTGATTAAGAATACAATTAAAGGGTAATTATAAGCAGTAAGTACAAGAGAAACTAATATGTTCATCGTTAAAGACTTAAACGACAATGTGGGTACACAGCGGAGGTGTCCAATAGTTTCCTCTATTTAAAGTAACACAGCAGAATGTGTCCAATTATTCGGCTGAGAAATGTAGAAAAACAATTGTCTCTAAACTATGTCGTCCAACTCCTAAAGAGTTGTTAATTTGCTTTTCATTGGCCACGGGACAGTAACCATCTTGGTGCTTTGTTGCATTCTGATATAACTTCAAACCCCAGCGGAACTAACACGTACTGTCACAGAGGTAGGATTCGGTAGAGACACTGAGGATTGAGCATCTGAAACATCAGCTACCCCAAAATAGTTTAACAATTGGAAAGAATTGCATCAGGGATTTCCTGGAAAGGAAGAAAATCTTGATGGAAGTGAGTAAGATGCTAACAAACCAAATGAATCCCTTGAGAAAATCTCATTAAATGTTAAATCCTTTAAAAAAAAAAAAGGATTTCTCCTGTCAATGGGGATGAACATAGCCCGTGTATTCGTACATACCTGTCAATAGGAATTTCCATTTACTCTGCAACTAACAAAATGCCTAAACAAATGGGAATAAACAAAGGTTTTGATGTTTGAACTGAGACATGTTTGAATTTATTAGTCTTTCATAATACACAGAAGTTCCATTTCATCTAAGCATTCCCCATCCTCTGTCTTTCCAGTTCTCGCATTCTCCCGCTCACCTCCCCCCCCCCTACAGAGCCTCTGTAGTTTCAAGAATTTTTCAAAAGGATGTTCCCCAAATATCTAGGACATCTTTTTGGGTCACCATTAAAATGATCACCCGAACTCATAAAACATGCAAAGAAGTTACCTCTTTTCGTTTTTTTGAATTATGTTCATTTAATTTATTTTTCTTTTTTTTTCATGTATGGAGATCTGAGCCTTCCCACTGACGCAAACAACAACATCAACCAGTAACAACAACAGAAATAATGTATGCTCTCATTATCATTCCTATTTAGAGTTCTAATTTATTCGGCCTTAGTGGGGAACAGCGGTTTCAAAGGAAAAAAACATGAAGAGTGGATTGTTGATAAGGCATGAAAGTTAAGTCAGTTTACCCAGTCTTACCCTCTGTTTTACCCTCCCGTTTTCTGTTATGCATGAAAACAAAAAAAACACCCTCTACATGTGCACATCACTCGGCATACCCTTTTCAAGCGGCGACGATTTACAATTAATTAGAGAGAATCCATATTTCCTGGCTTGTCTCTCCCCGTGCACAGGGCCTATGATCTGCGGCTCAAAGCGGAGCGGCGGAGACAGAAGCCCAAACCTCCCTCGTCAGCTCCATATGCTTGGAGCAGCCTCCATTGCTGACGATTGACAGCCACGAATGAATTGCCAAATAAAACATCCCAGTCACTCCCACTCACCACAGCGCATCCAATACCAGAATAGAGCAGCTCCACTTGCAGTTAAGTCATCGCTCTTTTCGCGTCCATGTTTCATCGGCTGAGGCGTCTCGGTAGTATGAGTAATGGTGTGTTTTAACTATGAGGGTTAGAGGAGTGTTTGTGCACACATAAGTATGTGTGAGAACTCAATGTGAAGGAAAGATAGAAAGAGGGGGAACGCTTTCATCCCAAATGCTTCCAACCACAACTCTCATATGCCGCACCACTGTCTGCCAACATACAATGTTTTCTTTCCTTTTCTGGGATGTTAAAAAAAAGAAAAAAAAAACAATACCTCCCTGCACATTTCTGCTTCTCCTTGTAAATGGAACACTTATATAAGGCACCATTGTGGATTACATAAATATCTCAAAGTTATCAATATTTCATCCTCTGTGCGTTTGATGTGTTTGGTAATTGGATATTTATGTTGTGTGCTTCCTCTCTAAAACCCTTATTACACTTGGGTGTTTGGGTGTTTATACACATGTAAAGAAATATTCAGGCATGCGACCCTATACCTGAGGCCCGGGAGCCTCACTGGAGCAGACATAGCTGTTGCTTGGATGTTTATTCCAGACGGGGAGCCCAGATGTTGTTCCTGGAACCCGCCTGGGCAGTTCTGCCTGCTCGGTGACTACAGCCCCAAGTGCTCCAATTACCCCTGGAACCCCTTTTACCTCCACTTCCCACTTCTTCCCCACTTCCTCTTGAAGCCCTTGGCGAATTTCAAGCTTCTTGCGATCCTTCCTGTTGGTGTTGCCATCCTCTGGGACTGCTACATCTATTTTATAGCTTCATTCTCTAGTTCACCCTCAGCCGCAGCATCCGACACGTTAGCCATCATCTGTTTAGTGGTCTGAATCTGCCACTTCATCTAAGCGCTGTCATTTTCCATCACCGGTGGAGATACCTCCCATTTTTTAAACTTCTGAACCATAGACAGTCCCGTCTGCTTGGCTGGGTTTCCGTGTGAGCTGGATCTGACTGGATTACACCTAGACCGTCTTGGCGGCGTCCTTACATTGCCCATCGCCTATCCCTGGGCTTCTGCCCATCACAGCAGGCGTCACAACGCGCTCTTTTCTCAAGCAGACCAAAGGAGTTTTTGGGTATCAGCTGCTTCTTTAATGTTAATCTCAATCGTATTATCCAGGGGCTTGTCAGCCGATGATTCTTTCTCCTTTTCCTAATTGTGTCTCTGCTGCCCGAGGCGTTCGCGCAACAGTTTGTTGCTGGGAGCCATTTTCCAGTCGTTATTCTTGATTCTTTTTCCCCCTCATCCCGGGTAGACGCTGTGAAACTCATTAGCCCATCTAGCCCACCTTCATCCTCGCACAGCGCACAATCACAGAGTGCTGGAGGTGAGGAAAAAGCCCTCTCCGCCTGTCCAGGTTACAGTACCAGAGTATCTGGTGGGTGTCAGGAAGTGTGCGTGGCTCAGACTCCCTCCTTCCTGTCCAGCTGAATCTTCAGAACCTGCCTTACTCTTTGCTGTCATTTGGTTTGGACTGAATTGCTTGTTGGCTTGTTCAAAGAGTCATTCACTTTGGGGACCACTGGGTTTTTTAAGCTGTCTTGAACATCTGACTTGTTGCCTCTTGTGTTCTATTGAATTCTTCCTGCTGATGTGCACCACTGACAAAACGTCCCCCAGTCCCAACAACCAGCGTGTTGTCTGTCCTATGCAGAACAGCACTGGGGACAGAGGATCTCTGATAAATGCCACATTTGGTGGTAACTTTTGTAACTGACTTTGTGTTAGCAGCTAGAATTTCCTGAGATGTCCTTTTCTCATGTCCTGTCCCATTTGCATACTCATCTTGTTTGGGACAATGCCTGCAAGGAGGTTCAATCTTCCTTTTTTTCCTAAAAGGCAAATTATTGACCAGTTACTGAATGGAAAAAGCCTTTTTCTTGAAACATGTGTTATGCACTGTTTTAGATTTTTTCAAATGTTTTTATTAAAAACTGTTAGCATTTGGGTTTGTTCTTTTTCTTTCCTTTCAGTGTTGGATTGTAGAGCGTAGAGACAGGTCGGGGGGGGGGGGGGGAAATACTGCCTTGTTGTGGGGTTACCCGGTGGCAAAAAGGGGGGCTTATGATTCATCTTGAGTGAAAACAGAGAGCAAGGACAGAAGGAACTGAAGAGGAGGAGAGGAGGAGGAGAACTATCAGCGTGGGATCCCTTAGTGGGGACTTGAATCTAATAAATGTTTCATATTTCTGACAGCTAATCCCACAAAAGAACTGCCTGAAAATATCTAACA